CAGTGAGACCAATCAAGCAGATCCTGCTGCAGGTGCTCATCTGTGAAATACCAATGTGACATTCCCGCTGCTAGCGGGGCTATCAGTGTGACCAATCAAGCAGATCCGCTGCAGGCGCTCATCAGTGAAATATCAAATATCAATCTGACATTCCCGCTGCTAGCGGGGGTATTTTTCAGTGAGACCAATCAAGCAGATCCTGCTGCAGGTGCTCATCAGTGAAATACCAATTTGACATTCTCGCTGCTAGCGGGGGTATTTTTCAGTGTGACCAATCAAGCAGACCCTGCTGCAGGTGCTCATCAGTAAAATATCAATCTGACATTTCCGCTGCTAGGGGGAGTGCTCTTCAGTGTGACCAATCAAGTAGGTCCCACCGGCAGAGGAATATCAATCTGACCTTTCCACTGCTATCAGGAACAGCGCTCGCCAGCAAATTGATCAGATAAGTGATCCCACTGCTAGCGGGAACGGCGCCCTTCGGTGAACGACCTATCAAGCAGCTCCGCTGTCGACGAGAGCGGCTTTTTTTTGGCAACCTGGCAATCGAGCCTTCCTGCAGTTGGTGGGGTCAGTGTCTTCCTCAAAACGGCGAACAGTCAATCAGGTACCTGTAGGTAATCCGTGCGCTTCAGCGATCGGTGCTCTCCGTTCACCACCGAACTGAACTTCAGAGTTATCGGTCATTCAACACGTTCAATGTTACTTTGAATATTTAATTTTCCCTTTCTTCCCTTTCTTTTTTTTTCCTTCCTTTCTTTTCCGGTTTCCTTTCACTCTGCAGTACGGCCACGGTAAGAGGCCGTGTCTGGAAGGACCAGAGTGCGAGTACTTGACGATGTGAGTTTTTCTTTGATTGCCCTCGCCGGTCTGATAGAGAGAAAGAGAGGGAGAGGGAGAAGAGAGCAGATTGTGTGTGTGTGAATGAGTGTGTGTGTATGAGGGAGAGGGAGAGCTTACGAGCGAGTGAAAAAGAGAAGAGGAGAAGAGAGGGGACAGCAGAGAGCTCGTGCTTACATAATGCCTTGTTGACTTTGTGCGGTCTTGCTGAGATAAGTGGGGTCGTGCCTGACCGCTTCAGTAAATTCCCCTGGGCCCTTTATGAGAGATCGAGAGTACGGGAGTGCAAGGACGCATGCATGCGGCAGTGTGCAGGGGAGTGGGAGAATGAGTGAGTGGCTGCTTGCTCAGAGATAGAGAAGGCGAGGAGAAACTACGGGAAAATGGTTGCTGTTTGTGGAAGCGCCGATCATGATTTTATTTATTCATTAAATTTTTCGTCTGTTTATTTACTTCAATTCCTTGCCTAAAATCAAACTTCAACTGCCTCTAACCGAGACGTGAAGCACTGTGGTAGGGTAAAGAAGTGCAAGTGTGATCGCAGATTTGTTGGGAGGAGTGTTGTAACTTAGGACAGTGATCCCCGTTCATGTCACGATAGGGTGATGTTAATTACTTCTTGCGACCGTCAAAATCAATCATTAAGCGTAGGCGTGACAGGACAACGCAAACTCCAGGCCCCTGCCGCTCGCTGAGGACCTCGGAAGCGGGCACAGCGGATGATAGACGTTGT